CCGATATTATTTCGCCCACAAAATACACAGTCAATTCACTTTACAGTATATCATGTGTGTTAAGGCGCTGTAACAAATCCAAGGATTATTATAACAAATGACATTCCACAGCCTTCAGCACATTGCTGCGGTCCTATATAAAGCACCCGCATTCCTTCACTTATTAATTGATCGCAATCAAATTTATTTTTTAAACGCTTTGTCATGGATCACTGGCAGATCAATGACCTATTGGGAAGTTTAACTCGATAATAATAATAATAATAATCCTTGCATTTGATATAGCTCCCTATCACGTCTTTGGGAAGTCTCAAAGCGCTTCACAGAATATAAAGTGAATTGACTGTATAAGGTACCAAAAACTGCTTAGGCTAAACAGACCCCTGCATTTCATTCCCTGCTAATAAAGTACATGTACAGAGCGACAGCACAGTTTTCTAATCAGATCAAGGTCCACCTTATTTCAGGAGGGAAGATGATAAGAGACTTCAATGGAGCCGTTGGCAGAGAGATCACGGGACACTGTTGGGATTCAATTAAAAAATAATAATTCTTGTACTACGTATAGTGCTTGTCACATCGGGAGGACATCCAAAAGCACATCACAGGATTTTCTGTAGAGTGTAGTTTTTGTGCGTTTCTAGACAAACGTGGCAGCCCATTGGCACACAGCAATGTCTCACTAATAGCCATGGAGTGAGTGATCAAGTTTATTTGAGGGATTGTTGGCCAAGAACACTGGGGGAAGCTCCCTTCTCTTTTCCAACAGCGCCAAAGGATCTTTAATGTCCACCTGAATAGATGGGATCTGGGTTTTAACATAGGATGGCACCTCTGACAATGCAGCACACCCCCAGCACTGCATCAGAGTGTCAGCTTAGACTACGTGAGTTCAGGGCCTTATGTGGGGCCTGAACAAACCACAACCTTCAGACCAGAGGCAAGAGAGTGTTGGTCATGTAATAATAATAATAATAATAATCCTTGCATTTGATATAGCGCTTTTCATGTCGGGAGGACGTCCCAAAGCGCTTCACAGAATACACTGAGACGTGAATTGACTGTATATTTGTGGGCGAACGCGGCAGCCAATTGCGCACAGCAATGTCCCACAAACAGTCGTAGATTGAAAATAACCAATTTATTATTGTTTGGGGTTTTTGGAGGGATTATTATTAGGCTCTGTGTGGAGTAAGGAAACTTGCCCAAGGTTTCACCCTCTGCCTGGAATTGAACTCAGGTCTCTCACTTGCAAAGCGAGTGCTCTAACCACTGAGCTACAGGACTCCAATGTACTGGGCCCATATCGCATGCCCACAACTGCGCTCGGCTGACGCACAATTAACTCACCACTGGCCAAGCACAGTATAATAATAATAATAATAATAATCCTTGCATTTGATATGGCACTTTATCACGTCTTTGAGACGTCTCAATGCGTTTCGCAGAATATACTGTAAAGTGAATTGACTATATTTTGCAGATGAAACACGGCAGCCAATTGTGCACAGCAGCGTCCCACAAACAGTCGTGGATTGAGTGACCAAATTTTTTTTTTTTTTGAGGGATTATTACCTCCGGAAAAGTAAGCCGCCAGTCGACTAACAACCAGGTTCCTACATAAATGCTGGGTAAACAGAGGCATGGAGTAACGAAATTTGCCCAACATTTCGCCCTGCTGGGAATAGAACCCAGGTCTCTCACTTGCGAAGCGAGTGCTCTAACCATTGAGCTACAGGATTCCACAAATATGAATGTTAAATACATAGATATAGATATATATATAAAAGAGAGCAAATTGTCTTTCATCTCTTGTTAAAAGGAGAAATGCATCTCCTTTTAACTCTCAAGCAATCAGAGAGCAGACACCAATCCCTGTAGCGTTGTCACCTCTCCATTCTCCTCTGTTCTTGTGCTTTACACTATAAAACAGTTGGTCACAGGAAACCCTGGTGCGGAGATTTTATTTTATGTGAAACCTCTTCGTCAGCAGTTGCACAAATGCTGCTTTAATGAGAGGAATTGGCTCTATTGCCCACAGCCTTTTCTCCTCATTCAGATCACTGGAGAGAAATGGACTACATTCAGCTCACAGTGTCTTTCTCTCAGGCGAGCTCTGACCAGCAGCTATACAGCACAGTAACAATAGACAGGAATAGCCACACGTATACAAAGTAGTTCTGATTCAATTAACTGCTCTTTCCCCTTTTTAAAACAATCTGGGAATACCGCAAGCTCGGTCACATGTTCCAGTACATCTCCCAGTTCTCCTGCTTCATAAATCCTTAAATATCATATGTCATATCATTAGTCATGTACTGGGCCCATGTCACACGTGCCTCCAACTTTACACTCATCGGAAAGCAAACCTTCTGATCAAACAAACGGAGCTGTAGGAATACGGTGAGAAACAGCAGCAGTGTCAAATCCATTTAAAAAGTAAATGCAATAGGTTTTACATACACATGCATATAATAATCCTTGCATTTGATATAGCATCTTATCACATTGTTGAGACATCTCAAGGGCTTCACAGGATATTCTGTAAAGTGAATTAACTATGTAATTTGTGAACGAAACACGGCAACTCTTGATAATGTTGGACGGGGCGGGGGGGGGGAGGGGGGTGAGGGGAAGAGAAATATTCATGTATTCAAAAGAAAAGATTGATTTTTAGCAAAAATTCATAAGATTTGTCCTTGTTAAAAAAAATCTATTCACATGACCTGATTGCGAGCATCTCATGGGTGCTAAGCATGCATTGAACGTTCCTTGAATAATAATATTATTATAATAATCTTTGCATTTGATACAGCGGCTTATCAGGTAGTTGAGACATCCCAAAACTCTTCACAGAGTTTTGGGATGTCTCAACTACCTGATGAATATGTCTATTTTGTGGGCAAAATGCAGCAGCCAGTTACACACAGCAGTGTCCCATTAACAGCCATGAAGTGAATGACCAATTTTTTATTTGAGGGAATGTCAACCAGGAAACGAGGAGAAACTCCCCTTTCTTTTTCAATAGCGCCTTGGGATCTTTAACATCCATCTGAACAGGCAGATGGGACCTCGGTTTAAGGTCTCATCCAAGGGCAGCACCTCTGACAAGGCAACACTCCCCCAGCAATGCATTGGAAGTGTCACCTTAGACTGTGTGATTCCAAGTCCCGATGTGGGGCTTGGACCCACAATCTTCTGACTCAGAGGCGAGAGGGAGTGCTACCTCTGAGCCAGGCTGACACACGAGGACCATTATGTACAAGTGCCAACTTGCAATGATGTTTTTGCTGTGCACAGCAATAAAGAATGCCTGACATTCACATCAGTAGGAAGCCTTGGGACAGCCAAACTCATAGTACTGATCTGAAACAAGTTCCTTCGAGCCACATGTGCTACTGGACAAGCAATAGGAATTTTGCTACACGCACACACACACACACACACAAACATAAGTGTGCGTGCGCATCAACCAAACTGACAAGCACGTTGATCGAATACCTATCGTCTACTGTGCACATTTATTCATCATTTGCACTGAAACAGTTAAAGAACAAGGTTGCTGTGTAAGTTAAGAGAATATTAGTTTCAAATAGTTTATTCCCCTTTCTTGTGATACAATGACCATAGTTTGCTGTGCGACAATACAGGGCTTGCCCCCTTAGTTTCACGTGTCACAAGCACCTTCCTTATATTCCTTCGAGTCGACCTTGACACTCGAGTCAGATGTTTGATAAAACTAGACATTCATTTATTGCGTAAATGAATCAATGTTTTGCGTTAACCAAACGCCTCACGATATAAATCTACAAACAGGCGACGTCTTTCATTTAAATCACACCGACGAACTTTCCCTCAGTCTTTGCCTGTGGGACAAAAGATCATCGACCTGAAGCATTAACTAATTTTCCTCTCTCCATAGATGCTGCCTGGCCTGCTGCGAGTTCCCAGCGACTTCTGTTTTGATGTCAGCCTGTGGGATCTTGTCTTAAAATTCGAGACGGCGCAAAATTGTGGACGATTCTTCAAATTAGTTTCGATTTGGAAGCCGACTTTTTCCCAATTTTTAAACAGAAACCGGCTTCCAAATGGACTGTATTGAAGAAGATCCCAGTGAATGCGGGCTTTTCTGTTTGGCCTTTAAGGTGAGACACCTTTTGCCGTCTTTCTTCAAACCATTCCTCTCCCCTATATGATATGTAAAACTATAATCCATCCTAGAGAGCTGTCGCTTTCTGTGGAGTTCAGGAAACAAATGGAGCTTCAGTACTGAAAGGGTTTACTCTCCCGATTGAATACTATGGAAACATATACCACATTTTGCACCGTTTAAAAATTAAATATCACAAGGTTTCGGAATTGTTTTTTCCCAGTTTATTCTAACCGTATTGTTCAAAAAGAAGTCTTATGATGTGTTTTAAACTCACTCCCTCCTTTGCTTCCTCCATTAGAATTCCATCCAATCTCACCCCTGTGTTGGTCACTAAAGTGCCAGAGAGAGGGAGAACTTTAGGACCAGTTGGATTTAAAATAGACAGCACAACGTAAAGCTGAACGGATTAAAACCAAGACAGATTTAACTGTCTCCAGAAAGAGGAGGAGGAAAGGGGGTGGGCGCGGGGGGGTGGGAGGAAAGGAAGGAAAAAAGGGAAACGTATTGAAAAAAAATCTACAGCTATTAATTTGCGATAGGAAGCAAAGCGCAGACAGAAAAGGCAGCGTTTGGAAGCTGGCAGTATATACAGGCACAATAAACAGGCAAGATTAAATACAATATCGAGTCTGAGAGACAAAATAAATAGAGAGAGAGAGAGGGAGAGAGAGAGAGAGAGAGAAAAGCCTTCCACAATCTTCAAATCGCAGGTAAAATAAAGCTTAAAAAGTCGATTATTCTTAAAGTGCATTTTTTTATGCAATTGGTCTGTGGGTGCAAAAGAATCTGGAATCCACCTTGACGGCAGATGCATTTGTCTTTTTTTTATTATTCTCATCATCGTCGTCAATATTATTATCAATAATATTATCATTGTTATTATTATTATTATTTAAAATCCCTGAGCCTCATGATGCCATTAGAATTAAGTCAAGTGATTTGCCTGGAAGCCACACGAAAGGCCCCCACCAATTTTTGGGGTGGCCAACCTGGGTCTCACTTGGAGTTCTGCTGAGCTCTCGTCGAGCAGTAGGACAGGAGAGTCTGCGTGCTTTTGTGGGACACGGTCTGTGTGCTGTTGTTCTTCATGATTTTCCTCCGAGTGCAAGGGTTGCCTTTGGTCACCCCTGGCGCTGGCAGCTGGCAGTTGGCACGTGTTTTGTGGGCGGCCGGTTGGGGTTTGTTGGCTGGGTTTCCCGGGGTCCCCCGGGGTTCTGTTGTTGTGGTGCTGACGGTGGAGGTGACCGGGACCCTCCTCCCCTGCTCCTCCTCCACCGCTGCCTCCACCTCTCCCTCCTTCACCGCCATCGCCTTCGTCACAGTCGTCTCTGTCTCCTCCTCGTCCCGATCGTCGCAGCACAGCGCGTGATAAAGCACCTTGTCGCTGAACCTCACCCTCTCCCTGGTTCCCGATGTCCTGGGGAGCACCCTGTTTCCCGGAGCGCTCCCCCCCACCGCTTCCTCGCTGGAGGAATCCGCTCCACCCCCATCCGGCCCGTTGGGCACCAGCCCTCCGTTCATCAGCCTGTAGTCGGCTTCGGGCGGTTGATGAGGCAGGTCGGGGGGCACGTTGACCTTTGTCCCCTCTCGGGGCGGGGCGGGTAGTTCCAGGAAGGAGCAGAACTCCCAGCTGTCGGACAGGATGTCTGGCGTCAGGAACCCCCATTGCCCGAAGTCGTGTAAGGTACCGCCCCGCTCCTGGTTTCTCAGCGTGTCGCTGCTCGACCCGCTGCTGATGGTGGCGATCGTCCAGTCGTCCGGCTCCAGCTCGAAATCAAAGTCCTCCGTCAGTTTGTCGATCTGGATCACCACCTGCAGAGGATCGCAAACCATTACACCACTGGGCAACGACGACGACAACAACAACAACAACTTGCATTCATATAGCGCCCCTCACGCAGGACAGCTAGCGTCCCAGGGGAGCATTAGAATGGGGGGGGGGGGAAGGGGGAGGGAGTGTGGGAGGGTACCATAGGCACAGATCAAGAGGAACATGGGGAAGCAAGGGGCAAGGCGGAGGGATGAAGGAAGAGTTCTCCGGAGTTTCGGGACATAGCGGCTGAAAGCACGGCCACCAACTGTGGAAAGCAGGGCACGAGGGGACTTGCAGAAAGCCGGAGCCAGGCGAGCGGAGGCAGCAATACTAATGATAGCCCTTGCATTTGATAAAGAGTAGCATCATGTTGTCGAGACGTCTCAAAGCGCTTCACCGAGTATACTGTAAGGTGAGTTGACCGTATATTTTGAGGGCCAAACGCGGCAGCCGATTGCGCACAGTAGCGTCCCACAGACAGTCGTGGAGTGAGTGATCCCCTCATTAAACCCGGAAAGCGATCCGCCATTCAACGAAGTACCGGGTTCCTAGTTATTGCTGGGTAAACAAAGGCATGTGTGTGGAGTAAGGAAACTTGCCTAAGGTTTTGCTCCACCTAGGAATCGAACCCAGGCACTCTCTCCCTTGCCAGATGAGCAAGCTAACCACTACTCTACAGGACTCCACGTCGGGAGCCAGTGTCAAAGAGAGATTGTTTATATTAATGGAATCATTTATTGTATTTCAAATGTCGCTGCAATTCAAGATAGCAAACCTTAGAATATACATGAATTGGTTTTATATACATTTGTGGAGTCCTGTAGCTCAGTGGTTAGAGCACTCGCTTTGCAAGTGAGAGACCTGAGTTCAATTCCAGGCAGAGGGCGAAACCTTGGGCAAGTTTCCTTACTCCACACAGAGCCTAATAATAATCCCTCCAAAACCAAAAACAATAATAAATTGGTCATTTTCAATCCACGACTCTTTGTGGGACATTGCTGTGCGCAATTGGCTGCCGCGTTCGCCCACAAATATACAGTCAATTCAGTTTACAGTGTGTTCTGTGAAGCGCTTTGGGACGTCCTCCCGACGTGAAAAGCGCTATATCAAATACAAGGATTATTATTATTATTATTATTAGACTTATATTAATTATCTATATATACACACACAAATAAAACATGGTCTGGCCAACAATCCCCAGATAAAATTGGTCATTCACTTCACGGTTGTTTGTGGCACGTTGGTGTGTCCACATTGGCCACCTTGTTCTCTTACAAAATGTACAGTCACTACACTTTACAGTAAAAGCCGTCAAATGCTTTGAGGTGCCCAGTTAGAAAACAAACGTGTGGTTTGAGCCAGGCGGCTTGCAGACGGGAGCTGTTGCGTTCTCAAGCACTTAAATATTCGCTTACAAAATACACAGCCACAAGACTGGATTGATTGCCCTATGAAGGGGCTTTGACACATCCTCCCGACGTGAAGCACCCTGTGTCGATAGCAAGGAGGATTAACATGTGCCCTGATTTGTGTGTGTCCCTCATACCCCAGGCAAAGCTCTTCACTGGTGTTTACCCACTGATAGCCCAGTGCGGGCGGCCGAAAATCATTCCAGTAAGTGTGCGTGTTATTACATCAACGGGCAAAGGGTTACAATTCTCAGGCTGAATGGAGGTAAGCACTGGTGATACACACAGGCATCCCAGTTAACTCGAGGTTTCCGCCACAAAACGCACAGTCAATCCACTTTACAGTATATTCTGCGAAGCGCTTTGAGAAGTCTCGACATGATAAGGCGCTATGTCGAATGCAAGGATTATTATGGTATATTATTTGAGGTATCCATGCCTGGAATGTGCCACTGCAATCTGACTTTTGGAGTCCCTCCTAATCTACACACATCTCGCCCAGAAAAGTACAGTCACTACACTGTACATTATATCCAGCCAAGCCCATTGAGACATCTCGACGGACGTGATAAGGCACTATATCGAATACGAGGAGAATCATCCCATATGTTACGGTAATAAGCTTGTGAAATAGGGCAGACAAAAAAAAAGCATTCGATTGATTCACAAATGCTGAACGCCACCGAGTGACCATTATATAGCAGACAGTGTCTTCAACGACAACAACAACAACTTGCATTTATGTAGTGCCCCTCACGCTGGGTAATGTCCCAGAGCACTTGACAGTGGCGGAAAATGATGCTGAGTCGGAGGGGAAGGGGAAGGCACGGTCGAACAGGAAGGTCTTCAGGCACGACCTGAAGATGGGGCAGGAAGGGACAAAGCGGACAGAGGATTATTTAACGTACTGTTTGCAAAGCGATTCACTTTCAAAGCCACTGTTAAACCCTTATGATCGCTTTAGTGATATGGAACAAGTGCAGGGTTTGGTGCACATGGGAGAGAGGGAGGGAGCGTTAAAAAACGGTACTTTTTAACCCTTTAACCGAAGGCACTAAAACAAACACAAACTAAAGGTCCGAGGCATTTTGTTGGCATTTTAATAATAATCCTTGCATTTGATATAGTAATAATTGTATCACGCCATTGAGATGTCTCAAAGCGCATCGCAGAATATATATATATAATCACTATACTGTGATTTTCACTGTGTGGATGAAACTAATAACAATAATAATAATAGAGGAAAGGCAGGGAGAGAGAGAGAGAAATGAGTCTAGCTCTGAGACCTGCGGGCTAGGATCAGTGAGGTTTAATTCAAAGTGGCTGTGTGTGTGTATGTGCAGGGCTCCTGTTAGCCTGAGATGGGAGCCAGTTAACCACTGATCTTCCCAAAGCTCTGTAGCGATTTGATGTGTAAAATAAATCAGCATTTTACACTGGAAAGATCTCAAAGTTTAAATGCATGATACGAAATAGTTCTTTCTTGGGAGCTAAGAGGCTGGGATGAATACAGGCTTATGTAACACCTTGTATAACACACACACACACACTACACTTCTCTCTCTCTCTCTCACCCCTCTATCTTCTCTCTCTCAATTCATTTTAACAGCTATAAAGCGCTCCATCAAATCCACATTGCATTCGATAAACAAGTGGTGAAATGGACAAGGATTGCAAAAATGACAAATGTGCAGAGATTTAACATATATGAACACACACACACACACACACACATCCACTGCTTTATATGAAACGCCTGTTTAGTGCTTTTATTGATAGGATCATTTTAGTGGTGTGTGTGTGGGGGGGTTTGAGAGAGAGAGAGATTATGTGTGTGTGATGATTTGAGAGAGGAGAGAGAGATGTATGTGTGTGTCTTGGAAGAGAGAGAGGTTGTGTGTGTGTGTGTGTATGATTTAAGAGAGGAAGAGAGAGAGAGAGAGAGAGACTGTATTTGGAGAACAGGACAGAAATTCTGTGTGTGTTTTGTATGAGAGAGATGGAGAGGGAGAGAGTTTCTATGTGTGTGTGTGTGTGTGTGTTTGAGACACAGAGAGAGGAGAGAATAGAGGGAGGAAAAGAGGAGAGGAGGAGGAGGAAAGTGATGGGGGGGGGGGGGTGGGGGGATAGATAGCAAGAAGAGAGATGGAGCAAAATTGGGACAGGACTGCTCTGGGTGGGGTGGGGGTGGGGGGGATTGTTTTTATTTACCTCCTTGAGTTCTTTGGCCACTGTTTTCAGTTCGTGCAGGATAACTTCCAGCTGGTCGATCACCATTTTCATACGAGTTTTGATGGTGTCTCTGAGAGGGGTTGGGTGGGGGTGGGTGGGGGTTGGGGTGGGGGGTGGGGGTGAGGGTGGGGGCTGCTGCTGGGCTGTGCATTCAGAGCTGGCCTGGGGTGGTGGCTGATGCTGAGATGACATCCTCTACACAGCTGCACAGGGTCGGCCTGGCTTGGCCATCATCCTCTTCCTCCTCCTCCTCCCCCTCCTCCTGGTTTCTGGTCCTGATGCTGGATGCTGATGGCCGTGTTGGGCGCAGTGAGAGAGGACTCACCATCTTTCTACCCCCCCCAGCGCCGGCCACAACCTGACCTGGAACCCTCGTCGTTGTTGTTTCTGTTGAGGTTTTTTTTTCTCTCTCTCTCTCTCTCTCTTTCTGTCTTTCTTTCTTTCTTTCTTTCTTTCTTGGTTTGTTGGTGGTGGTGGTGTTGTTGCTGTTGTTTCCCGTCTCTCTCTCTCTCTCTCTCTCTCTCTGGTCCTCTCTCTCTCTCTCTCTCTGCGATCCTCACACTGAGTGGGAAGGACACTGCATCAAACACTAAGTTGAGAGGGAGATTTTTTTTTTGGGGGGGGGGGAGAGGGGGGTGTGGGGGGAAGGGGAGGGGGGGGAGATGGAGGGATAATTGGGGGGATGGAGGAGAGATGGAGGTATTTGAAGGGGGAGAGATGGAGGAGAGATGGGGGATATTTGAGGGGAGATGGAGGGATAACTGGGGGGGGGGAGATAGAGGGTTAACTGGTGGGGGGGAAGAGATGGAGGGTCAACTGGGGGGGGAAGAGATGGAAGGATAATGGGGGGGGGGAGAGAAGAGAGATTGGAGGAGATGGCAAAGGAGATGTGGTGTGGAGAGGAGATCTGGAGAAGTAGATTTTTTTGTGTGGTGGTGGGTGGTGGGGGGTGGGGGGGGGGGTTGGGGTGGGAGAGAGAGGAGATGTGGTGGGTGGGGGGGGGTGATGGGGGGTGGGGGGTGGGTGGTGGGGGGTTGGAGGGAGAAGCTGTAGGTGTGCAGAGAAGGAGGAGGAGAACTGAACGCAGAAGAAAAGATCCTGGTTCCACAACACACACACAGACAGAGGAGGGAGGGAGAGGGGTTGGGGGGGGGAGAGGGGAGAGGGTGGGGTGGGAGAGAGGGAGGGGGTTGGCAAAAAAATTGCTTCTCCAACCGAGTCTGTGATGATGTGCAAAACAACCTTCGTTCCTTTGCGAGGTTTTTTGTTTTTTCTTTTCTTTTTTTTTTAAAAACAAAAAAAAATTATTCTCTGCTGTGACAACAGTAATTATTATTCTTTTCTTGCTTTTCTTTTTTTGCTGCTGGTTTTAAAAAAAGCCTCAGCCAACAACAGCCAGTGGGGAGAGAGGGATGGAGAGAGAGGGAGAGGGAGAGGGATGGAGAGATGGAGAGATGGAGAGGGATACAGACAGAGACAGAGACAAGAGGAGCCTTGTTGTCTTGTGTTGTGTTGTGTGTCTTGTCTTGTTGTCTGGGGTTTCCTGATGGCTTCTCACATCGCTCAAGGTGATCTCCAACAACCTGGCTCCTGGCTGTTAACCCTCCGCATGGCTGCTGTCTGGTCCTCTCTCAGGGAGAAACGACCCTCACCCACCCCAGACCCCCTTCTCCAGCTCCTCCAGGGACCCCCACCTCGTCTCCTCGATGGTCCACACACACCCACCCACCCACCCACCCACCAAATCCACCTGCAAAGCCGGGCATGGACCGTGTGGCGAGGAGCCCTGTTAGCAGCCAACTCCACACAGGCATCTTGCAGAGCAAAGCATCATCAGCACCACCATCATCACCATCATCGCAGCATCCAGCAGGTTACAGTCCATCCAGGTACCTGGCTCGTGTGTGTCTGTATCTGTGGTGTGTGTGTGTGTGTGTGCACAGGCTGTGTTACAGCTATATATACTGATGGGGGGGGGGGGGGGGGGGAGGAGGAAGGAGGGAGGGAGGGGAGGAAGGAGGGAGGGAGGGAGGGAAAGATGAATGGATGGATGGACTGGGAGGGGATGAAGTTCATTGTCATGAAACATCACCCAGATACGATGCTCACCAGCTCCCTGCGTCCAATTGTCCCAGTCTTGCTCCCCCTCTCCGTTCAGCCCGCGAGCGGTCACTCCACTCCAATTCCGCGAAGGGTTTCGAGACGTCGCCACGACGCCATCGGGCGCTGTGTGTCAAACTCCAGGACTATCGCGTGATGTAATAATAGTAGCGGTAGCACTAACAATAAGGCTCGGGTTTGATACAGCGCCTGATCGCGTCTTCGAGGCGGCGCAAGGGGCTTCGCGGAATATACCGTACAGTGGAGTGACTGGACATTTTGGGGGCGAAACGCGGTAATATCAGGTCACGGATTTCACAGGGGGGTTTTCCAAGAATATTTTTGGATCCCGTCGCAAATCAGCGAATGCAATTTTTTTTCCCCCCACCAACAGCACACAACACAGTCACTGCCCTCACCCCCACACACAACCCCCCCACACACCCCCCACACACACAAACACTCACATACTGAGGAACAAATGGATGGTAATGGAGAGAGAGAATGGGGGAAGAGGGTGGAAGCCAAAAGAGGTGGAATTTTTTAAGGTGATAGGGAGAGAGAGCGAGAGAGAAAGAGAGAAAGAGAGAGAGAGAGAGAAACCAAAAGAGGTGGAATTTTTTTTGGCAAAGGAACCGCACTCATTGCTTTCTCAGCAACCCCCACACATCACTGTGAGTCTGCAGGTTATTCTACCATTTCAATTTGCAGACTGGCACCTTTTTCAGGGGAAAATCAGCTCCAGACAAATGGAGGTTTTAAATGCAGGTTATTGTGTGTGTGATTTTCTTCGAGAATCAAAAACACAATAAATAATCCTACTGTGGAAGCGTGATAATAATAATAATAATAATAATAATCCTTGCATTTGATATAGCGCTTTTCACGTCTTCTAGACGCCTCAAAGCCCTTCACAGAATATGCTGTAAAGTGAATTGAATTAAAGTGACCCGTTATTGCTTTTGAAGTGTTGCAGAATAGACAGTAACTTTCAATTATATTTGTATCTGAGACCCAGCATGTGTTTTGGTATTCTCGCACCTTGTGGGCGATTTCGCCCACAAAATACACAGACAATTCACTTTACAGGGTATTCTGTGAAGCGCTTTGAGACGTCTCGACGACGTGATAAGGCGCTGTATCAAATGCAAGGATTATTATTATTATTATATTGTAACAACATGGCCTTTGTAAACATCAATACTACCTATTGGGTTATTCTATATCTGTTCGTTTGTCAAAAAGATATCAAACAACACTGAATTATAGCAATAAAATACTGAGGGCTGCTCACGATATTGAAGGCTCTTCATGTCCCCTGCAGTCAAATACAACTGAGGTCCCTCAAAGGTTTGCCTGAGCTTTCTCACAGCTGTTTATGGAATCGTCGAAATGAAATCCACTCTGTAGCCGACAGGAATTCAATACAATATCAGCCACAAGAGGGCTCAACGCCGTTATTTTCCAGACTTAACTGCGAAGAATGTGAGTCAGCTCAAGGGCCATAAAGGTCACATCAGTTACAATTTTACAGCATTTATAATAATAATAATAAAACTCTTGCATTTGATATAGAGCCACATCACGTCTTCGAGACGTCTCAAAGCGCTTCACAGAATATACTGTGAAGTGAATCGACTGTATATTTTGTGGGCAAAACAAACAGTCGTGGATTGAAGTGACCAATTTATTATTTATTTTTTGAAGGGTTTATTACCCCCGGAAAAGCAATCCACCAATCGACTAACAACCGGGTTCCTACTTACCTCTGGTAAACAGAAGCGTGTGGAGTAAGGAAACTTGCCCAACCTTTCGCCCTGCCCGGAAATCAAACCCAGGTGTCTCGCTTGCGAGGCGAGTGCTCTAACCACTGAGCTACAGGACTCCACAATACAGCGTAACATAGTCATGTAGTGCTGTAGCTTAGTGGTTAGAGCACTTCATTTGCAAGCGAGAGGACCTGGGTTTGATTCCCGGCAGGGCGAAAGGTTGGGCAAGTTTCTTTACTCCACACACCTCTGTTTACCTCGCAGTAAGGAGGAACCTGGTTGTTAGTCGATTGGCGGATCGCTCTTCCGGGGGTAATAATCCCTTTTAAAAAAAAATTAAAAAAAATTAGTAATAATTTGGTCACCAAACCTACGACTGTTTGTGAGACACTGCTCTGCGCAATTGCCTTCCGTGTTTTAGTTTCTCTCTCTCCCCTAAGATTTTGGCGACAAACTATACAGTCAGTTCACTTTACAGCATATCCTATGAAGGGCTTTGAGATGTCCCAAAGACGTGATAAGGTACTATATGAAATACAAGGATTATTATTATTATGACACTTTGCAGTGAATCCTGTGAAGAGCTTTGGGATATGCTCCCGATGTGAAAGGCGCGATACCAAATGTCATATTTCTTATTGGTAGTAGTATTTCCTGGGTTTGATGCCAGTGTTAATAATTTTGCACAATGCAAACATTAGTCAAGCAGTGTCCATTAAAAAAAAAAGTCAACCACACAAAGCTATAATGGTTTTGAAAGCGCTATGTTTTCGATGATAATAAATTATTGAATGAATGGAGATGAAACTGGGCTTTGGTGGAATGAAATGGGTTCACTGGGACATGAAAATCACCCATTGTTCTTTCGTGCTGTTGGGACAGGTCCTTTTCATCTTGACATGGTACAGCTCTTTAAGTCCTCCACGGTTGTCAACACTGGCTGTCAGCGTCACTTAACAAGCCCAGTGATGACAGCTCGAGAGTATAATAAATTAAAATGGTGACTTTCAAGTTCTTTTTTTTAAACAGTGCTAAAATTAAGTGCTCATGCGCCAGTGACAAACCCTGACGGTTTCAGCTGATTATACAGGCACTCCACATGGTGGGCAGCAGTCATTATATTAAAAAAATGCCCAGATTCATCATCAAAGGAGTAACATTTTACAAACTGCTATCGAAAGGTGATAATGTGCTCCAGGCTGTACTATACAG